CGCAGTTGTAATTACGTATTGGTCTTACATTCGATACATGGAAGAGGTGGATAAATTTTTAGAATCATATGGAAAGTTCAAAGGCTTTTCTTTTCGGCGAAGTAGGACCGACCTTCACTCAGACAATTCAGGCATTCACCTTGTAGTTATGAGTGTTCCAAATCACGTGTACATCAGCCTAAAAAAAAAGTTGACATTACTAAGCAGCGTGAACGCCATTCTACTGCAATAGATTGTGGGTGGCATGTAAATTTCAACAATCGTAAAGGCACTACTGAGATAATTTGTACGTCACTTGAAGACAAACACAGTCATGAAATAAATCCCATCATTGATCAAACAGCATCACACTTTTGCAGATTGTCAGAAGAAATGTTCGAAGATATAAAGTTTTATACTTGTCATACCATTAGCATAGGTGCTAAAATGCAGTATAATATTCTACGTGCGAAATATCCTGATAAGTATATTAATAAAAAGGACGTATATAACACTGTTCAACGGTTCAAATCACCATCTCTTGAAAACATAAAAAATGATATTACGGAAACTTTGCATCGTTTATTAGCTTTAAAAACAGAGGATTCTCAATGGGTAGTAGTACCTAACATTGATGAAGAAAACAGGTTAACTGCACTTTTTTGGATGTCTCCTTCACAAGTGTTGCTATGGTCTCAATTTTGTAACATCGTAATAACTGACAACACTTGCAAAACTAACCGATATGAAATGGCTTTGTGCTTGTTTTTGGTTGTTGACAATGATACTCGTTTATGTATCACAGCACAAGCAATTTTAGAAGATGAGACTCAGGCTTCTTATAAATGCGTACTGGAACATATAAATGCTGCAACAAATAGCATTATTCCTAAAACTATTTACTCAGATGCAGACCCAGTCATGGGTGCAGCTTTGAGAAATCTATGGCCAGATACTCATCATTCATATTGTATCTTTCATATGAACAATAATTTTATTAAAAAACTTAAGCCTATTATGGGTATTAGTTTTAATGAATGTCATAAGCTGTTCTATCGTTCTCGTAATAGTTTATTTGAAGCTACTTTTAAGCATCATTGGGTGCA